AGAAAGCAGAAGTGACAATGGTGGGTTAGCGTGCCGTGGGGACACAGCCAGCTACACTTATCATATACTCAACTTTATTTTTATTAAATTTTAATCGTGACGTTTTGTTAACTGTGATTCATAAGAGTGAACCACTGTAAGCCGCTAACGTACACAGAGAGACCAACATACATATAATTTATGTTGCTGTTGCAGCGGTTCGCTGCGTCGATTTAACCTGGTTTTCAGGGTAATGGCGTTACTGTAGTTTCAGGCACGAGCATAATCACCCAATCCGGTGGTTCTCTCGAGACGAACTAACCCATTACCTGCCACTGTCTTCTAACACAAAGAAGCCAGTCTTTGTAGCCAGCGTCACATGACTGATATTAGTTTGATTTATTTTTGCAATGTTGCAACAAAAATAAATCGGAACACATCGAATTGTAAGACAAAGGTATTGGGAAAACATTACAAATTGGTGTTCTATCAGGTCGCCTTGGTGTTAAGACGGACAGAACGGCCTCCTCCCCTCCCCCCACCATTTTTTTAAGATGATTGGCTGGGCACCTTGTTCTGTATCTTCCACTGTTCCATATATTATTATTTATTATAATATTCGTATTGCACTTAGTAACAGTGGGTTGACAGCTGGGATCCGAAGTGAAGAACAGAAAGCGTTAAAAGACCCTAACGGCCCAGTTAAAAGGCAAAAGGCAGTTTAGTTAACTGCCAGTTAACTAAAAGCGAGTTAACTAGTGCAACGCCTGGTACTTTCAATTTGTTTAAACAGAAAGTTCAGTGTTGTTTACCAAGATGCTTGGCTTCTGTATTACACGTTAAGGGTTCACTAGTTGGTCTAGGTGTCCAGCTCCACACTATCGAGCTTCAGCACGGTGACTGACCCTTCGACTGACCCAGTCACGGCAGTATAGCCCCCAGGGCGGCTCATGAACACGAGGCCCAAGGACGACCAAGGACGCTCAAGGTCACAAAAGGTCCAAAGACGCACAAGGAAAGTTTTTACTGTATTATTGTGTGTGTACATATTAATTAGCGAATTTAATATCGAATATAATTCGATTTTAAAACAATAAGTTCTGAAAAAAAATTACGACTTTATGCCCTCTAAATGGATGCCGCGGAGTCGCTAGCCGACATTCTCGACACTAAACGGCTGACCGAGCCTCTCCCACACCAACACAGGATCAAGTCCCAGTTTCCTGACGAGAAAATTTAGTAAATGTTTCTATCCCAAAACGAAGGGAAAGGGAAATATCAGGAAAAAAGCGTCAAGCCATTACGACTATATAGCACTTGGAAGGGATGAGGATTTGGGATAGGGGGGAGGGGAGTGGAAGGAATGATGCCCAACCACATTGACGGTCGGGAATTGAACGCCGACCTGCATGAAGCGAAACCGTCACTCTACCGTCCAGCCCAAGTAGGCCAAAATGAGAAACGTACAAGGGCCAACTTACTCCCTATAATGGCAGCCCCTGGCCTTACAGGGAGTGATAGTAGCGATCATGCAGCCGGGTGGATAAACAGGAATTATGAAGACGATTCCAATAAATCTTGCTGAATTAAATAAATCCCCGGAGCTTAGCCTAAAGCCAAGCGAGCGAGCCAACCTCCGGAACCGGTTAGCATAATAATCTCTTGGAACAGAGTGTCAATTACAACTAAGTGGAGATAGTCACACTGATATTAAACTGTTCCATTACTCGTCCTCTGTATATCATCGATTTTGCTTCGTCAAATTACTAGTAATTAAATTATAAACTAACACGTTTTGGTAGACGGAATGATGCCCCAGCCCACGACCGTGCCCCAGCTCGTGCTCCAGCCCACGACCGTGCCCACGACCGTGCCCCAGCTCGTGCTCCAGCCCACGACCGTGCCCACGACCGTGCCCCAGCTCGTGCTCCAGCCCACGACCGTGCCCACGACCGTGCCCCAGCCCACGACCGTGCCCCAGCTCGTACCCCAGCGCACGACCGTGCCCCCAGCTCGTGCCCCAGGCCACAGAGTACATTCGGCACGTGTCTTCAGATCACTGGCTACAAACAACTGGTGAATTTCCGGGTCGAGACGAGAACACAGGGCGAGTTTCTGGAACAACATTAGAGTGGGAGTTGTTCCTCCACCACCAACTCGCCCACTCTCTGCCACACGAATCCAACAGTTTTCTTCAAATTAGCTCGTTACGCTTTTGTTTATATTTTGCGGAGATAAAAACCGGGCGACTCCCACTAAACAAAAACCAGCCACAAAGGGCGAGAAAAGACATAACCCAAAACCGATATCCCCCCCCCCTTCCTCCACTCATCGCCCATAGGAGGTTGAAGGGGGAGGAGAGGGGGAGAATGAGAGAGGGGGGGGGAAATGAGAGATGGGGGGGGGGAAATGAGAGATAGGAGGGGGGGGAATGAGAGATAGGAGGGGGGGAATGAGAGATAGGAGGGGGGGGATGAGAGATAGGAGGGGGGGAATGAGAGATAGGAGGGGGGGAATGAGAGATAGGAGGGGGGGAATGAGAGATAGGAGGGGGAATGAGAGATAGGAGGGGGGGGGGAATGAGAGATAGGAGGGGGGGGAAAGGGAGGGGAGGGGGGAAAAAGGGGGAGGGGGCGCGAGAGAGCGTGCGCGCCAGCGTGAGACCTACACCTCTCGAAGCATAAACTTGAGAATACCCAGAAATATCTCGCTAGAATGTTACCAGAAATAACAGAGCCGTGTTATGAAGACGAGAGAACGGAGCCCGCAGTCTCTCGCTGCCTTGGGACTGTACACACACTATGCAAATCCTCCTTACTCTCCTTCCTTAAAACTCTCCTAAAATACGAATATTCAGATATAGCAATAATCATGTTCCTAAATTCACAGTGTAACTTAATATTAATTGCTACTTCACAACTTTGAAGCAGTTTTGCCTCGTAACAGACCAATCTAGCTAACCCTCCATCGAAGTCGTTTATCATTAACCCAGGTGTAAAATTCAGGTGTCTTAAATCTATTAAATCCACCTCAATTTAGACGCTTGTTCACAGCATTAAAAAACTGTTGTTGTGAGTGAGAGACGTGACTGTATGGTGAGGGATGGTCGGTGTGAGGCCTCCTTGCTACTGTTGCTACTGTGAGAGACGTGACTGTATGGTGAGGGATGGTCGGTGTGAGGCCTCCTTGCTACTGTTGCTACTGTGAGAGACGTGACTGTATGGTGAGGGATGGTCGGTGTGAGGCCTCCTTGCTACTGCTGCTACTGTGAGAGACGTGAGTGTATGGTGAGGGATGGTCGGTGTGAGGCCTCCTTGCTACTGTTGCTACTGTGAGAGACGTGACTGTATGGTGAGGGATGGTCGGTGTGAGGCCTCCTTGCTACTGCTGCTACTGTGAGAGACGTGAGAGGGATGGTCGGTGTGAGGCTCCTTGCTACTGTTGCTACTGTGAGAGACGTGACTGTATGGTGAGGGATGGTCGGTGTGAGGCCTCCTTGCTACTGTATGGTGAGGGATGGTCGGTGCTACTGTGAGAGACGTGAGTGTATGGTGAGGGATGGTCGGTGTGAGGCCTCCTTGCTACTGTTGCTACTGTGAGGAGGGCGAGGCGGAGCACCAACTCCACAGGCCATAAAGAGCCCGAGGTCATCACCTGGATACATGCCTGGATACAGAAGGATATTAACTCAACAATCCCGGATGATGGAAGAAGATTAAACACTCGCCAGCCCTCCAGATTGACTTGCTCTTCCACTGGTGGGGCCACGAAGCTTGCTGGGCTGGTCAAGAGTGTCCCCCAGGATGCTACCTTGTGGCTAACTTTTATAGCTTCCGGGTATCAACGGCCCCACGGTCCGGTCTCCGACCAGGCCTACCAGTTGGTCATCTGGTCAACTAGGCTGTTGGACGCTGCTGTCGCAGCCTGATGTATGAATCACAGCCTGGTTGGTCAGGTATCCTTTGGAGGATATGTCGAGTTCTCTCTTGAACACAGTGAGAGGCCGACCAGTTATGATCCTTATGTGTAGCGGGAGCGTTGAAAAATCTTGGGCCCTTGATGTTGATAAGAGTTCTCCCTCAGTACTGTACCTATTGCACCTCTGCTTTTCAACGGGGGGTATTTTGCACATCCTGTCATGCCCACCACTCTCGTGTGATGTTATTACTGTGTTCAGATTTCGAACTAGTCCCTCTAATATCTTCCACGAGTAGATTATTATCTATCTCTCGCCTGCGTCCTAGAGAATACAGAGTTAGAACTTTTAATCGGTCCCAATAATTAAGATGACTTATACAGTGGATTTTAGCGGTAAAGGAACTTTGCACGCTTTCTAGGTCAGCAATTTCTCTGGCTCTGAATGGGGCTGTTAGAGTGCAACAATATTCCACCCTAGAGAGCACAAGTGTCTTGAAAACTATCATTGGTATGGCATCCCTTGTTTGGAATGTCCTTGCTATCCAACCTGTCATTTTTCTTGCAGTCGGAGCTGGAACTTATTTTCATTAAACATAAAAATAAATTCCAGCTCCTGCACTATGGGAAAAAAATTAAAATTTAAAAACGGAATCAAATCCCACTATAGAACGAAAAAGCAATGCAAATGATCTAGGAGTAATCATCATATTATGTGTAGCCCATTGAAAGACCTTATTTACATCCGATTGAAGGTTTGCAGTGTCCTCTATATTTGAGCCAAACTACTTCCACCTGGCTGAATGCTGGTACAAAACGCTGTTTCTCTCGTAGTCTCCACATGAAGCAACCCGTCCTCCTAACAGAACGTCCCATTTTGAAGCACACTTTACCTAAGGCCAAAAAACGTCGTACTAGAAAATGATAGCGGCTCTCGAAACTGACATACTGTTCCGTTTTCCGTTTTGGGTCCTCTGGTAGGTTAGGAGAGGGCACTTTTTTACGACAGGTTCTTGACGTTGGGAAACCTTAGGAAGTCGGGCTGCACGAAGAGGACAGCGGACTTCGCAGCGACAAACATCGACAACCAACCATCGTGAACTCACCTGTCCTCGGCGATGCGAGCCAGAAGAGGCTCGAGCCAGCCCTCGGTGCACTCCACGTGGGCGTCCAGGAAGGTGATGACCTGACCCGTGACCTCCTTGGCTCCCAGCAGGCGCGCGCGGATCAGGCCCGAGCGCTCGACCGTCCGCAGCACCCTCACGGGCACCGGCAGAGTCTTCACGTGCTCCTCCAGCTCCTTCCCCAGGTAATCTGCCGCCGTAACAAGGCAGAATATGACTCAGGGAAATAACGAGGCAGGTTAAAACTATTGACTGGAAAATATACTGGAGTGAGAAGGGGGTGAGGGCGGGGGAGGGGTGGATAAGGGGTAAGCAGGAGCTTCGACAAATGATGACAGACTTCAAGTCATGGCACATGCTTGACTTGACGTGCGCTCTAAGCTTGGGACGAGACTACAGGTTTATGCGACAAGAGGAATAATAGTTCAATAGGGGGAAACAGTCACGTGTCCGGGAGAAGGGGAACTATGCAACATTAAACGCAGTAATTTGTCACTGAAATTTTCCCCATCAACATTCACAATGGAAGAACACCGTCGACCGGTCCGAGGGAAGACTCAATGTTATAGTGAACTTGTGTATATCCAAAGCTTCGGAATTAATGTATTGTCATCACAGGTGTTCGACACGACACTTGTCATGCTCTGTACCTGTCTGGGAAGGCATTGGGAATGAATTAATATCAAGTTAGAGTTGTCGCCTGCATTTTATCTAAAGAAACTTGATGAATAAAGCTGGAGATAAGCGAGCAAGTTTGTGCGCGCGCGCGCCCGTCCTCTCCAAACTTCACCATATGTTTTCACCAGCAGCACTACACTGAGTGAGTGCGTGAAGCGAGCAGCTGCTGCATCTGGCCATATTAACTTTTCAACATCACCTTTAAAAAAGAATTCTTAGTCATTGTATAACACAATCGATGAATAAACACATACTCAAAGAGTTTTGCATTATTCAAAATATCTGATTGTTGGCTAGGCCCAAAATGAAAGTGTCAATTATATCTGCTGGTTTGGATTTTGGGTGGTTAATGGTCGCAATATAAATATGTTGCCAGTTCTTGAAGAAACTGCTCCCTTCTTCCCGTCTGAGCAAAGCAGGAACCTTACTGCCTTCAACTCCCTTCAACGTTGTAGCGGCTTCAGCCCCAGATTAGAGGGGAGGGGAGGGGGGGGGGGGAATCATCATCAGAGCCAGCTTGGAGTCGCCCCGGGGATTGTGTTCAGGGGACCAGTGTCCCCGGGGCTCTCAGTCTCAGTCTCCTGGTTGGTGGTGTGTCACAGCAGGCTGTTGGACACCACTGCTCACAATCTGACGTATGCATCCATGCGTCATGACGTTTGCAGACGGTGGCCCAGTTGATCAGGTCTCCTTTGGAGGAGTAATCTTGCAGACCTTCAATTGGTTTAGTGCAAAACAAAAACGGCTTCCTTGGAGGCTTCAAACAAAATGAAGCACCACTTGGGAAAACAACGCTGAGCATTGCCCCAAGACCCAACCACTTGATGAGTAGAGGACTGACACAAACATCAGACCTTAAACATGGAGATGGACTCACCAAGACCATAGGAAACGGGTGATGGATGTAGGGGTGATGTGGGGGAGGGGGGGGGGGACATTAAAAGACAAGAAACATCAGTCTGAAGGAGAGACAGGACCTTAAAACTAAATTATATTAGGAATTATTAACAATACACTGAAAATTCTTAAAAATTGTAAAAAATCGTCAATATAGTCAAAATTTATGATTTTTAGCTAAATTACCAATAAAAAAGTTATTTTAACCATTAAAACCTGAAAAAATTCCAATACAAATGATAAAATTCAAATGTTCCAAGCAGTACCTCTCTCTGAGGCGTCATCGACGAGGAGTATCTCCTGCAGGAGGGCTCGCGGGGAGCGCTGGATGATGGACCACACGGTACGGAGGAGCGTCGACCACGCCTCGTTGTGGAAGACGATCACGATGGAGGTGGTGGGCATGAGGGGCGGGTACATCTTGGTCTTGCACCTGCGACACACACACACACAGATATTCATATGCAGGCGAGGAGTCACAATAACGTGGCTGAAGTACGTTGACCAGACCACACGCTAGAAGGTGAAAGGACGACGACGTTTCGGTCCGTCCTGGACCATTCTCAAGTCGATTGTCGTCCGTTCACCTTGTAGTGTGTGGTCTGGTTAACACAAATGTTCATGTAATAAACATCTCAACAATAGTTACGATAGGAATTGAGACGCACAAAAGTGTCTCAGATCAAGGGGTAGAGAGGGAAAAGAAAGAGGTTTGACTATATGTAAGGCATCAGTTATGTAATATATATGTAACTATAACTTGAGCCTGCAAACGCATCACAATCACCTTCTATGGTTAAATTGCTTAGTAACACACTAGTTTCTATAGCAGCTATCATACCCTGTCAAAATAAGTAAGAAATCTAAATACATATATATGAATACTCACACATATACATTATACACATGTGCGAATGAAAACTCCACAAAAAATTATATACATGTGTGTATAATTATAACTATAAATATATATATACGAACACAATAACTATACATATATACTCACACAATACACACACATATAACTGGATCAGGATTCTTTAAGTAGTAACGCAAACACTTACACAATCTGAACATTTTTCCTTACTAACTGCGGGTTTTGTTTATATATATATATTTAAGTTTATGAGCGCATGGTTGCTTATAACTGTGATCACCTAGGGGAGCCGGTCGGCCGAGCGGACAGCACGCTGGACTTGTGATCCTGTGGTCCTGGGTTCGATCCCAGGCGCCGGCGAGAAACAATGGGCAGAGTTTCTTTCACCCTATGCCCCTGTTACCTAGCAGTAAAATAGGTACCTGGGTGTTAGTCAGCTGTCACGGGCTGCTTTCTGGGGGTGGAGGCCTGGTCGAGGACCGGGCCGCGGGGACACTAAAGCCCCGAAATCATCTCAAGATAACCTCAAGATAACCTTGGACGGGAATATTTCCAACCTCATAAATGTTTAATCAATGTAGACGTCGTCCCCCCCCCCCCTCCCCCGTGTGTCCCCGCCAGCCCGCCAGCGTATTGTGACAAAGTGATTACTTAAATTAGTGGTTACACTGTATAGGAGTGTTGTGCAGCGCTACCATCGCCCGCACATTACCCCGCGGTGGGCAGGTCTACCACGCGAGAAATAAAGCCTGTCTCCCGCACACCTTCAAGAATGACGTATGGTTAAAACTTGAGGTTTAACGAACTTCGGGAAGTGGATCATCCATCCGCCGAATGAAAATTAAACCTCTTTAGTTCATCGTCTTTAGTTCAAGTTCGTCTTTAGTTCAATCGGGTCACAAGGAATGTTATCTCAGCTTGTTCACTGCCAATCTCTACACGAGAGAAAACAAACTATACATACAAGGGCTGGTATACAGACTCAAGGTTGTGAGGAGTGTATATCCACAGCTGTTTATAATGTGCCATGTATAGTTTACACAGTTAAGATAACACGATGTCCTGGGGCCAGGTTCACGAAGCAGTTACCCAAGTTCTTACGAACGTGTACATCTTTCCTCAGTCTTGGACGGCATTGGTTACATTTTTTTAACAATTTACAAGCATGAAAACTTCCCAATCAACTGTTGTTATTGTTATAAAGAACATCCTTTGTCTTCGGAGTTCATTAACTGTTTAATAATGGTAAACAAAGCCGTCAAAGACTGAGAGAAGATGTACAGGTTCGTAAGTGCTTGCGTAACTGCTTCGTCAATCTGGAGTCTACATTAATTAGAAAAGATGAAGCGTGCTTAGCGTCTCAAGCTAAGCCGCTACAAGAGTAATTATTACACAAGGGTCTTCAGGCACCCATCAGGAGATTAGCCAAGCACACAAGAAAACACTTCGAGTAGCGTCTGGAGAGGCAGCCACCGTGGTAGCTATAGACTTGTGTTTTTGCTTCAACCAGGAGGAGGTCAACAGGTCAGGTCACCCATTTACGGTCGACGAGGATTGGTGACGGTGTGACGTCACCAGGATGAGTGCATCATCAGTCATAAGCCTGGAAGTCGGTAATAATGCCTTCCTCATATTGGTCTATTGTGAGACAAAGCAATCATGTCTTGGGTTGCAGCTACAAGCATGATCGAGATCCTGTTACCGAGCGCTGCACAAGGCAGTTGGGTCAGTTCTTGTCTGTTAGGCCAAATAGATAAGTCCTCATCTCACCAAGCTAAAATGTTAACTTGTATATAGTAACAAGTACCTTGTGTATCTCGCGGACGCCTGGAATCACGGCCGTGAAATTATAGAAGTAACTAAGTTATCCAGCAACTTGAGGTTGGCCAGAACCTCCAGCCAATCTTAATCTGGGAATGCAACGTGGCCAGAAATACCGGGAATTCATTGGTTAGGAAGGCCGTCGTAGCTGTCGTTTTCATAACTCCCTGACTAGTTAACCACTACCTACGTCCTGCCGAACTATATATTTCTAACTTCCATTCATTCATTTACAAAACTATTAAAAACTAATATGCAAAACATTTATACATTCTAGTTTTACCTAATATGTATAATATTGCATCACAACCTCCAAGCAGGAGGTTGTGATGCCTCAATAAGGTAAAAATATACCCAAAGGCTGTGTACAAACTCAGGCTTACCCGTCCCTTCCTATAGGTAAGTATACAGAAGACTACTAACACGGTGTCAGGTTTACAACTTTACCTTCCCACAGCTCGTCAGCCTTACCCTATTAGTTCCCCCCTGGAACACGCCAATCTGTCTACAACCAGGTCACCTGGTTGATACCTGCTTCTGAGAGTTCTTCTACTCCCCCAAGCCCGGCTCGAAGCCAGGCTTGACTTGTGAGAGTTTGGTCCACCAGGCTGTTGCTTGGAGCGGCCCGCAGGCCCACCACAGCCCGGTTGGTTCGGAACGTCTTTTAGAAAACAGTCTAGTTTTGTCTTGAAGATGTCCACGGTTGCTCCGGCAATATTTCTTAGTCGCAATTATACAATTTCTTATTATAATGTTTCTTATAGTCGCAATTATAGTCACCAATTACTGCTGGGGCAACATGGACGGACAGTTCCCGCTCAGTAGCTGGTTTTGGCCTCCATGCCCGGCGTGGACCACAGCCCGGCGTGGACCACAGCCCGGCGTGGACCACAGCCCGGCGTGGACCACAGCCCGGCGTGGGGGGCCAGCGTGCCCTGGTAATACACCTTCCTTCACCACCAGCAGGGCGACGACATCTCAGCAGTTCGGTGCAGAAAAAACACCCAACAACATGGGAGAGAAAAGCGCTAATGATAAAAAAAAAAACTTTTAAGAAAGAGAATATACCGGAGGCTTGGGGGGGGGGTGTGTGCCTGGGACAGGAAGGAAGAGGAGAGGAAAGGAAGAAAGGCGGGAAGCAGAAGGAGAAAGGGAGAGAGACGCCGGGAGGAGAGAAGTGAGAGAATTAGTTGGTGATAAATCCGGTAGGAGTTAGGTGATGTCGCTCCCACAAGCTAGAGTGGACTTTATTACTGCCATTGCCATTACCAGATACACGCTGGCGGGTGCGAGGGGCGCCTGGAGCAGCGCCTTGCTCACCTAGCTCTGCTGGCGGACTTCAGCTCTGGGGACCCGCCTTTCCACCAACAGTCGACTGATTTCATCAACCTATCCTCAGGCCGGTCTCAAAGCAGCGCCCGTGCCCCAAAGACGCATTCACACATTTTAACGCAGTGTATTATTAAAAATGAGTTTATTCTCGTATATAAATATTATATTTTGAAGTTCTATGTATAGTTAGGCGTAGGTTAGGTGTTTAGATTCTGTTGGTGATTATTTGTATTAAAATACGTTGGTGAAACATTTTCAGAGCTGCGACTAACAGGTCGTCCGCTAAGATACGGTCGATCGTCATGAACCTTGAGTCGTGTGTACAGCCCGAGTAAATCCACTAGAATGAAACACCAAACTCCTCCCCCCCCCCCCTCAAACTATCTGGATAGTTATCTAGATATCTGTGATGGTCCGATAACATATTACCGTTCCAATATTAGTCTACTTGTAAACTAGCAAGTGAACCTTTGTCCTATACAAAATATTATCAAGTTGTAACTTTTTTGTATTATAAATCGTTGTTTTAAAATATAAAAAGTATATGCTGAACTCTTGGAAATGGTCTGAAGAATTTGGTTTTCTGTAAATGAAATTCAAGGGATACTCAAATATTTCTCTAAATCCATATTTCACATTTCTGGGAACACACCATATTAACGTATCCAAATGTAATGCAACCTAACCAAACAACAAAACCTGATGAAGCCTAATCTAACTATAGCGTCCAACAGCTTGATTGACCAGACGACCAACCAACCAGGAGGCCTCGTCGGAAACCGAGCCACGGGGCCGTTGTTCCCCGGAAGCTATACAAGGTAAGTAACTGTAACCTTCAAGAGAAAACTAAATGGTTTTCTTCAAGAAGTGCCGGACCAACCAGGGTGTGGTGGGTATGCGGGCCGCTCATCCACCCGCTCATCAGACTGTCCAACAGCCTGATGGACGCATTCATACAAAAAGGTGAGACAAGAGGAGGGCTTGTTCACCTGGGCAATATACCGGCGTGAACACGGTGGACAAGGACACGCCATTTGAAATCTTAATGACCGGGACTTTGGGACCATTTATCGAGAACTACATACAAACGAGCCACATGAATATCGAAACACTTTTTCAATGCTCGGGTGTTACGAAAATATACTATACGAGAAGGTGAGCCAGCTAGAGAATGGGAGAGTGAGAGTCAACAAAGGCAAATGTTCATACGTAGACGTATATGATTATTTATATTTGAAGTACGTAGGTGAAGCATTTGCTAGTGGCAATTCGAACAGAACTCGTCAGCGAAGCATTGAGAAATGCCAAAAACCACAACCAAACACTAAAATACCCCAAAAAACTAAAAACCACAACCAAGCCCCCCAAAAACACAGCCAAACATAAACCAGTTAAAATACAGCCAAACCACAATAAAACTCAAAAACAGTCAAACACCAACAAACTCCAGAGCCGAGCTTGAAGAGGACCGGCGGGACCATCTGTCTGCCGCCTGCCTGGTTCCCTCCAATGCCTCCTCCACCCCCAACTTGACTTTCTAATCAAGGGTAATTTTTTCTTCACTAGTCTATCTGCCTGCACAAGATTACGCCCAAGTTGGTCAAGTCTGGCCCCAGGAGAGTACACGCTCACACACACGTGGCGCATGACAGCACGCACAACTATGCACAAAGGCGGCATCCTGCCAGTAGTTAACAAATGGAATGCACTTAAAAAGTGATGTGATGTGACTCCATACACAGTAGGCTCAGGAACCTGTAACACCAGTTTACTGACGGTTGACAGATGGGACCAAAGAGCCGAAGTTCAACCCCCTGCAAAATACAACTAGGCGAGCACACACACGCGCGATGCAAATGCACAACAATTTCATACAAAAAAATGAACGAGGCATGAGAAAAAAATAAAATCATAATTTTTTACCAATTAAATAAAGAAAATACTATTTCATTATCAGAATGAGGATGTATGCTATTGTGGAAAGTCAGTCGTGTCTGTCCCTAGCTAGTGATAAGTCTTAGGATCAATGGTGCTCATCGTCATCTCTACTCCAGCCCCGTACGAAATGTGTCTGGCACTTCGAGCACATATTGACAGACCAAGGGAGCAGGTGAAACTTGTAATGGAATGCAAGGAGTCGTGCAAGGATGTAGAGCCTCGCATTTCAAGAGAGGAGGGGGGGGGTGGAGGAGGAAGGGGGGCGGAGAACCCCGCATTTCGGGGGCGAGCCTCCGTTTGACATTTCTCTCTAGTTTCCAGCCATGATCCCTCGTTCTGCTGCTCCTAGTTTTGAACACTGCTGCCTTATCAATTTCCCTTAGAATCTTATTTATCATATTCCCCTTATCTCTCCTTTTATTCAGTGTGGTATAGTCCAGTTCTCTCAGTCTTTTCTCATAGCTTAAGCCCTTCAGCTCAGGAACGAATCATGCTGCATCTCTTTGGACCTTTCCTAGTGTCTGTCCATTTTTAAGGTAAGAGTTCCATGCTAGGGATGCATATTCAAGTGTGGGTCTCACCTTCGCTGTATATAGAGCCTGGAAAATCCCTTTATCCAAATTCCTGAAGGACATCCTGGATGTACCTGGATGTTGGTCAGTATGCAACTGTTATTCTGCTAATGTGGGCTTCTGGCATCAATTTTGGAGTTATGTCCACTCCCAGGCCTTTCTCCTTTTCTGACTGGAATATGTCTTCCCTTCATCCTATACTGCTGCATTGGCCTTCGCCAATGCAGCAGTATAGGATGCTGATAAAGATACGTTCTTGTCTACAACACCATTCGCACTCCTGCTCAACCCTCATAAGTTTGCATTTGGCTGGGTTAAACTCTAGCAGCCATTTTTCAGATCACTTCTAGAGTGTTTCCAAAGCCTCACAATCTCTGTCCTAACTTCTCATCAGTTTTGCATCGTCTGCAAACTTTGATATGAAGGAGCCAATTTCCTCTGTCAGGTTGGTGACATATATTAGAAACTATATTCTCTCACTCTCTCTACGAGGCCTCGCGGATGAGTGAGAGCGCTCGGGTGTCGTAGTCCTAAGGGCCCGGGTTCGATTCCCGACCGAGGCGGAAACAAATAGTCAGTTTCTTTCACCATAATGCACCTGTTCACCTAGCAGTAAATAGCTACCCAAGAGTTAGACAGCTGCTACGGGCTGCTTCCTGGGGATGTATGTGCGCGCGCGTGTTAGAGAAATATATGTAGTGTATAAATAAAAGGAAAATAGATTGGTTAGAAAGGCGGGGTCCAGGAGCTATTAGCTCGATTCTGCAGACAAAATAGTAAATACACACACACACACACACACACACACACACACACACACACACACACACACACACACACACACTACGGTTGACAAATGGAATGCATTAGGAAGTGATGTGGTGGAGACTGACTCCATACACAGTTCAGTTTCAAGTGTAGATATGATAGAGCCCAATAGGCTCAGGAACCTGTACACCTGTTGATTGACGGTTGAGAGGCGGGACCAAAGAGCCAGAGCTCAACCCCCGCAAGCACAACTAGGCGAGTACACACACACACACACACAAGGGAACATTTGCAACTGACATCTAACAGTGTCAATTGCAAATGCAAGCGACTGTGGTAGGTACGCGTGCCGTGGCGGGGTCCACCACCCCGTCTTGGCTCGTGGCCGCACAAGTCCTGCGCCACTTTGCAGTACCACTCTTCTTTCACCGTCGACAAATTGCTCGTCGTGGGCTAAAACATCCTTTCGCTAAATTAGTTTCCATTTCCGAGAAAAAATATATAAAACACGAAATGGCACTTATTTACAGAGTAGCAAAATTTAGAATGTTGTGATTGTACTGTAGTTTTTTTTACAATATAGGTCTCGGCAACTTTTATTTTTTGATTGAGCTGGCTTAGCAACTGGGGTAGATAACCAGGATACTGTGTATTTTAAAGTAAATGGTCACCATAAGTTCGAAAAGGTCATATTATCGCATATTAGAAAATATACATTAAGCTTACATTAAGCCCAGTAGCCTGGCGCTGCAGTAGGCTACAGTTCAGTAAATATTGCCACATCTTCCTCCTCTTCACTACTAGTTACTAATTCATTTGACCGCTAAAAATAAACATGGCCAGACAAGACCAATTCTGAAATGTCTTATGTAAAATTATCAAGAAATTATTTTTTAACAACACTTACTTTCATTGAAAAGACAATGTTATCACGGATCCCTCAGCACTAAATACGAATAGGATACTTGAAACTTGCAGAAATACGAAATGAAACCGAGAATATGTTTGGCGCTTATCAGTCGAAATATCAAATACCTTGCACGAATCGGAATTCAGCATCGCTAAATCGAACATATTTCTATAGAACTGATAGTCAAAATGTACAAGTAACATTTCTGTATGGGCAATAATGTACCTCTGATCTATAATAAAATGACTACGAGTTTTTTTTTTATAAGTGATAATGAACATTAAATGGCCAACAGCTTTTACGAGCAATAACACACTGAAGAGTCTGGCTAGTCGAGGCCCCGTACAATCATCGAGGCCCCTGTACCTTCATCGAGGCCCCCTGTACCTTCATCCAGGCCCCTGTACCTTCATCCAGGCCCCCTGTACCTTCATCCAGGCCCCCTGTACCTTCATCCAGGCCCCCTGTACCTTCATCGAGGCCCCTGTACCTTCATCCAGGCCCCTGTACCTTCATCCAGGCCCCTGTACCTTCATCCAGGCCCCTGTACCTTCATCCAGGCCCCTGTACCTTCATCCAGGCCCCTGTACCTTCATCCAGGCCCCCTGTACCTTCATCCAGGCCCCTGTACCTTCATCCAGGCCCCTGTACCTTCATCCAGGCTCCTGTACCTTCATCCAGGCCCCTGTACCTTCATCGAGGCCCCTGTACCTTCATCCAGGCCCCTGTACCTTCATCCAGGCCCCTGTACCTTCATCCAGGCCCCTGTACCTTCATCCAGGCCCCTGTACCTTCATCCAGGCCCCTGTACCTTCATCCAGGCCCCCTGTACCTTCATCCAGGCCCCCTGTACCTTCATCCAGGCCCCCTGTACCTTCATCCAGGCCCCCTGTACCTTCATCCAGGCCCCCTGTACCTTCATCGAGGCCCCTGTACCTTCATCCAGGCCCCTGTACCTTCATCCAGGCCCCCTGTACCTTCATCCAGGCCCCTGTACCTTCATCCAGGCCCCTGTACCTTCATCCAGGCCCCTGTACCTTCATCCAGGCCCCTGTACCTTCATCCAGGCCCCTGTACCTTCATCCAGGCCCCTGTACCTTCATCCAGGCCCCTGTACCTTCATCCAGGCCCCTGTACCTTCATCCAGGCCCCTGTACCTTCATCCAGGCCCCTGTACCTTCATCCAGGCCCCTGTACCTTCATCCAGGCCCCTGTACCTTCATCCAGGCCCCTGTACCTTCATCCAGGCCCCTGTACCTTCATCCAGGCTCCTGTACCTTCATCCAGGCCCCTGTACCTTCATCCAGGCCCCTGTACCTTCATCGAGGCCCCTGTACCTTCATCCAGGCCCCTGTACCTTCATCCAGGCCCCTGTACCTTCATCCAGGCCCCTGTACCTTCATCCAGGCCCCTGTACCTTCATCCAGGCCCCTGTACCTTCATCCAGGCCCCCTGTACCTTCATCCAGGCCCCTGTACCTTCATCGAGGCCCCTGTACCTTCATCCAGGCCCCTGTACCTTCATCCAGGCCCCTGTACCTTCATCCAGGCCCCTGTACCTTCATCGAGGCCCCTGTACCTTCATCCAGGCCCCTGTACCTTCATCCAGGCCCCTGTACCTTCATCCAGGCCCCTGTACCTTCATCGAGGCCCCTGTACGTTCCGAAGTACAGACTGTCCAAGACTCTGCAAGAAAACTTACTGCAAAAACTGCCAACACATTCGTACCATTACAACCTACACAGCCAGACGAGCTTTCCTTGCAGGCACTTACCCCTCTAGACGAACATCGGGAAGGGACCTATTGAGGCTGATGGAGTCCGAGGCGAGGAGGTTGAACTGGTTGAGCTTGAATTTCTCCTTCATGATCGCCTCCTGGTCCGGCGGGGTTCTCACAGGCTTGCCCATCTCCCCGGGCTTACCAGGCTGCTCCTGCACCGTCGGCTTGGACACCCACCGCTTCAGTTCCCCCGGCGGGTAGTCCAGATGCCACCCCTGCACGGAATACACACACACACATTAAACTCTCACTTGTATGAATACACTGATTTATTTTCCTGTTCTTGGGACGGAGGGGGGGGGGGTGAATGGAGGGAGCGGAAGGTAGAATAAATGTGACCAACCGAGAAGAAAATGAACTGCAGGAAGAGAATGGCAGTTATCCCAGCATGCACGGTACACTCTCAACACCGTTATTCATCTAACTCAGTTTACCAAACTAGGTACGCACCTAGTCGTGCGTACCCACTACCTACTTTCATCCCATAGCCTCGTATTCTAAGCAAGTTCTACTAAATAGCTAAGCATATCTATACACTCCCGCCATCTCTACTCATAAAATTATGTAGAATGAAAATCCCAGCATATATTATCCAAGTTTCCGCAATCTGCAGAGCTTGTTGGGTAAACCTTTAACACGGTAAAGCTATTTTAACGACACCTACAACTCCTCCACTGAAATATCCATCTAAACGAGGCCTTGTGCCTCGTCTACATTAAGCTACATCCACAAGTCCTATCAGATAGATCTGGAAAATAGTTTACTTGATCCGGTTTGACAATACTAATACTTGTTAACTAGACCCCCTCCCCCCCAAAAAAAACGCCAGGTTTAGTTATCAAGATAACTAAAATCTGTGAGGTAATTAATGTAATTTTGTGCTACATAATTATGAGTTCAAGCAAATATTTGTAAGATAAGAGAATACAGTCTAGATGTTAGGTGTACTTCTAGTAGGCCAATCCAACAAGTGCCACACGACACACCAACACAACAGACTCACAAGATCAGCAACAGGATTAAGACCCAGCAAGATATCTTCAAAAACGGTTCTTGCGTTGTTTATACAAGTCCCATCTTCTTCCTGTGAGGTGTAGAGGTGACAGGAGCTCTCAATCTAGCTATATTAGGTCAAAATAGTCACAAATCCATTTATAGATCGTTACTCTTTAATTTCATGTATTCTGGAGATTTGTAAACAATATGTGTAATGCGTATTTTAAGCCACAACACTAAAGTAAAATCCAAGTGACTCGTAGCGAGAATGAGTTGTGTACGTCAAGGTAACTCAACACAGGTGACACACCACACTCAAACAAAACAAACTCACAATAATCGCGTCAGGATTAAGACTCAGTAAGAAAGCTTCCCAAATGGTATCTTCAATGTTTGCACAAGTCCCTCCTTCGTCCTGTGGAGTGTAGAATTGACACGTGCTCTTAGTCACGAAGTCGAACAAAACATTGCTAAATTTGGGGAGTCTGAAACCGGAACTGGTTTAGATCCTTCTCCCCCCAATTATCAAAATGTGTAACTCCGTAACAACTGCTAAGCTCTATACTGACACCTACCCGAGCATCGTTAAGGAGGACATCAGTAGGACAAGTTTCATAGTCATTTTCTAGGTGAAGCATTAATGAAACGACTAATCCCTTGTAAATTTATTCCAGAAAGCACGTGGTGACCCGAGTCTAAATTTTTATGTTCGAGTATTATTGCACTTAGTACAAATCGAGTACAAAAGCACTTATTATGTGTATTTCAAACATTAAATGTTCTATCTGAACATTATCGCTAGCGAAATTATATTTAAATACAAATTACATTTTAATATGGAAGGGAGTACCACCTCAGGCTGGAAGAAAGGGACCATTAGCCTCAGAGGAAAGCACACAACGCATTAGAAGAGTTGTTTAGGTCTCCTCCAATACAGTTTCTCTTCTTTTCTCCTACCATCCCCTTCCTTTTGTGTTTTGTTGTGCTTTATTAGATATATAAAGGTTACAAGACGTACATTGGTTGATACAATGAGTGCTTAAAGGTTATGGATCTCTTGGAGCTCCTCCGCTTCCAATTCTTTGCAATCCAATTTGGAATCCAGCCTGGAATTCAATTCTTTGAGAAATCCCAAGGCGCTCCTACCCCAGGGAGTAGTGTATCCAAAGTTCTACTCCTCGAGCCTGGTCTGGCTCGTCTGGCGATTACTTGGTCGGTAAGAATGTTTCTAGTAGCATCATGGAATCCCAACAAGATTTTATTGCATGAAACATATCACCAGTTAATTAGCACTTATGTACTTTCCATTTTTAATAGTCTTTATAATTTCATAAGCAACCAGGTCGTTTAGTAAATGCTGTACGGCTCAACTTTATAATAAATATATAAAGTAATAGCGGTATATGTGAGACAGCAGCAACAAACTTTACTGGATAATTAACAGGAAGAAGCCAGTATATAAGGTAGTGCTGATAAGGCAGTGATGATAACCTGCTCAGCACAGAACGTGTGGTGTACAAATAGAGTATTCAGCTCAGCAGTTTGTGTGTATCTGCAGCGAGGAAGCCCCAGCAAAATATGGTTTGCCTGGCTTGAATTGAGATAGCGTCAAGGGCGGCCGCACAAACCAACGTAGTCAGTGACATCAAAAACAGAATTATCACATCTCACTGCGGAGAGAACCTTGTTTTTCCCGCGCGTCTCGTTCTGCCGCTCCTGCTGGTCGCCCCACAGGCATCCCTGACAGACTGGGAGCAAGCGGGTGTGCAGCCACCGACTGGTACACCAGTGTTACCCGTTGATTGACGGTTGAAAGGCGGGACCAAAGAGCCAAAGCTCAACCCCCGCAAGCACAACTAAGTGAGTACATTCGGTGTACCACTCAGTGTACACACTTAGTGGCAAATATGTTGACCAGACCACACGCTAGAAATTGAAGGGACGACGACGTTTCGGTCCGTCCTGGACCATTCTCAAGTCGATTGTGAGAATGGTCCAGGACGGACCGAAACGTCGTCGTCCCTTCATTTTCTAGTGTGTGATCTGGTCAACATATTTCAGCCACGTTATTGTGACTTATCATCTGCACTGAGTGGCAACACCGTCCAGTCACAGGCGGTGGTGCCACTCATAGGAAAGCAGGCAAGTATTGTCTTTAGGGAACTGAACTATCGGTATAATTTTGCCCCAAATCGATCCCGAATACATTCACTACCTCCTCTGGGCACTACGTGTATATGACAGTGATGGTCCGGTTGTGGGAAGAGAGGTTGTGGGAATCTCTTCCCACAACCAGACCATCGTCCGGGACTTGCCAGGACGTCGCGAGACTGTCACTTTGCTGTGAGGCTCCAGAGCCGATCAGCGGGTCACGCGTACCATGAACAGACATGTTGGGACCCGAAAGATAATGAACTATGCCTGGGCAGGATGAAGCCAGAGGAAACTCTGGTGAAGGTCCGTAGCTCCTTCAAAACGTTCTGCTTTGAAGGAGACCAAGCCACTAACCATTTTCAAAGCCACTAACACATTTTAAACAATACGCATACATAAATACACTTGATACAGAATAGCTGAAGTGGGGATAAGTGTATTTGAATTTGCGCTTCTTTGGGGCTTACTCGCACACGTATTTCCTCACACTAAAAAGACTTAAAAATATTTAATTCATTAGAAGATGTGGACAGTTTCATGAACAGAACGGGGGAACTGAACAAAATAAAATCATGCTGTAGTTTTGGTCTGGCGCGTTCACGAAATGGTCCTCGATCCGAATTTGCATGTACAGTATGTATTTTTTGTAGACAAGCAATTGCCAATACATTAATGTGTACTGTAAATAAACTACACGCCCTAGTATTAGAAATAATATTACGATTTACGAAAAAGATATCGGGTTTATATTTTGATTGTTCATATTTAACGTTTTTACACAAAATCTATTAGTTATATTTTGTCCGGTAATTTGTTTGAGCATCAGAGCCACCTGTTGATGGCTCGGGTAACACTTCATCACCTGGGGCAAGATTCACGAAAGCACTTACGAACCTGTACATCTTTTCTCAATCTTTGGCGGCTTTGTTTCCAATTATTAAATAGTTAATGAGCTCCGAAGCACCAAGAGGCTGTTTATAACAATAACAACAGTTGAGTGGGATGTTTCGTGCTTTTAAACTGTTTAATAAATGTAACCAAAGCCGTCAAAGATTGAGGCAAGATGTACACGTTCTTAAGTACTTGCGTAACTGCTTCCTGAATCAAGCCCCATGTTTCTACAGGTATAGCAGCCACCATCTGTCCTTCCCACACACACACACTTCTGCAGAACTTAAAACTAGTTACATTTATGATGTTTATTTTAGAAAACAATCGCAAATCCAGCTTTGCACAAGTCCCAATGAGCTTACCTACGGGTGGGCAAGCCTAGCATCTGCAGTCTCTCAGCTAATCTGCAATTTATGTTAATTCCCATTTCCAAACATTAATAAGCTCTCGATTTACGAATGTAATTTGAAACGTGTCAATAGTTGTGAATTATGCACTACAATAATTGTCAATTATTCACTACGATAATTTAAAATTTCAGACGTTTTAATGCTATACTCTAAAGATTTGTGTTTAATTTTAATAAATAACGGCAGAGGAAAATGACTCCAGTCTGATACAGACAGACAGACAAAGCTAGGACCATTAAATACATTTAAAGTTAATCTGCTGACAAACGGCATCCTGTACAGAGAGCTTGGGTACCAGTAACTGCCAACAGCAGCCAATCATCCTAGCTCACCCCTGATTAATCATCCTAGCTCATCACCGATTAGACATCTTAGCTCATCACCGATTAATCCTCTAGCTCATCACCGATTAATCACCCCTAGCTCATCACCGATTTTCCAGGTGTTAAAGCAGTTAATAAGTGAATCAAGTTCGTAACCTGTTACTATCTCTGCCAAGGCTTTAATAACTCGCTAAATAATACGGTCAAGCGTGAACAAAGCTGCAGTAGCGAGCCACAGACAAGAGTGACCCTTACGCACAGACATGACAATAATGTGATGCATCAAATGAACAAATCCACGAGAACCGTGATAAGGGTTCGAACCTACGTCCTGGGTGCATGGGGGGAATTGTGTAAAACCCTGGTTTGTGTCTCGGAGAGGCTGCAGGATCCGTGGAAGGTCAGTTGAACTCCCGGTTGCAATTCTTTTCGTCAGTCACC